TCTGGGAAGCCTTTCAGTGGGAGCTCAACATTAAAAAAACCCCACAAACCAAACCACCTCCCCCCATTTTAAAATACATTTAAAATGTAAAAACTTTGAGTAAATTCAGAGGTTGCCTGAATGAATGTTCAATGTCAGTCAAAATTAAACACGAATACAGAAGAAAACAGTATGAACTACCAAATATTATAAAAGATTACTGATAGAGTTAAAGGATATATACTGACTGATCCATCTTCTAAGGTACTGCAGAAACAAAGGATAATCAATATTTTAAAAAAAGAGATAGTGGAAAAGCTTTGTGTACAGCTACGCACACTTGTGCATAACACAGCTATAGGCATTTGAAGGGACTGATCATTAGATACCAGATTTTTTGCTCCAGTCACAAGCAGCACCTTAAGGCCTGCAATGCAAACAGCACAGTCCTGACAAGAGGCGTTTTCATGAGTGGAAATTCTCCTTTTAAAATACTAAGTTTTACCACTATACTCTTAGCTCCCTCTACCCCAGTTTACTTTTCACATAACCTAGCACATGGTATATTTAAGGTAATGATTTAACTAGGCATATAGTAAAATACTAAGTTGTATTGTAAAAATGTAAGTTTCAAAACAAAATATTTTGTCCTTCATCAATGAGCACCATCAAGATGCACGTGCTAACTGGAAAGTAAACATAGTTGTTCCCGTTGCTGATTAGGCTATCCAGGGCAGGGTGAAAGACCTGGGTAAGTTCAAAGTTGTCTGCCAGTTGAAGAACAACTTTGCCATAAATAATGCACCAGAATTGTGAGGGAGGTTGTAAACAACTGTATTAAAACAGGTTCCTGCTGATCACTGATTGTGCCTGAAGCACCCAGTTAGATACGTAAGAGACAGGCAGCAATTTCCTCTTCTTCCTGTATCCTCAGCAAAACAATAAATGTATCTCAACTGTACCTACAGTTTAAAAACATGGCATAGAAAATAGCTAGGCTGATGGGCTCTGAACTGCCTGTTACTTCTCATAAAAAGAACCTGGAGTCCCAGCAGAGAGTCCAGTGCAGCCGTCAGCTCATTGCTCAGTGGCAGGCAAAAAAGGAAAAGGACTACAAAGAATTACTGTAAAAAGACCAGATTAAAAAACACAAAGCGTCATAATGCAACTGTATCAATCCATAATGCAGATACATTTTGAATATTGTGTGCAGTTCTACTCTTTCATCTCAAAAAGGGTTTAGAAGAACTAAAAATGGGGAAAAGAGTGTCAAGGCTAATTGAAGCTGTGAAACAGTGTCCTTGCAAGGCACAAACACACAGATGAGAACTTTTCAAGTCAGGAAAAAGAAGAACAAGTGTGGGGAGCATAAACATCTATGAAGTCATGAGAGGCAAAAAAAAAAATGAATAGAGAAAGATTACTGAATGTTTTTCACAGTGCAAGAACTAAGGAGAACCAAATGAAACTGGCAGGTGGCTCAAAAACAAACAAAAGGAAGTACTTTTTCACACAATGTGTACTTAAACTCTGGAACTAATTGCCACAGGATGTTGCAGATGCCAAAGTTTACATGAGTTCAAAAAGCAATTAGAGAAATTCACAGGAGAAAAAAAAATAAATCCATGAATGGCTATTAATCACAAAGGTATTACCTCAGGATTAGGAACTCTTGGAACCACAGATTGCTAGACGAGAGCGTGTAGCAGGCCAGTACTACAGTACGATTAACTTGCCTTAGGTTGTTCTCTGAGTCCCCGTGCCTGCTCACTGCCAGGGTCAGGATGCTGGGATACACCAACCACACGCCTCTTTCAGTAGAGGTATTCTTATGGACTGATTGCATTTTAAGACATTTTTAAATTAATTTTTTCCAATTCAGCTATTCATCCTCAGCTCCATCCCTTGTTGTATTTTATGATCCTTTCCTTCCAGATGGTCTCTTTTCCATAAAGTTAGTAATTGTTCACTGGTGCAAGTATCATGATGATACTTATGATAAGGAGTACATTTACATTACTTTTTCTTCAAAAAAAGGCTTTAAATGTAACTTTTGGTACATTATAAAACACGTAATTTGTTAGAAACCATTCAACAGATCTGTTTACACTCTTTAAAATATCTAGAATAAAACTAGAGAAGTAAACACTAAGAAGAGCAAGACTCAGGGCCTAAAGGTCATCAAGGTACATTCATATTAGGGTTAGAATACCATTCATGGCTGTAGAACACAGATAACAAAACCTACTCAAATTTTGAGTCTTACATGAGCTTTAATTATGAGGCTTGGTCAGCCATATTAGAAACAGTTTGACATCAACCAGTATCCTGAACAAACAACGAAACACTTGCAGCGTTTCAGCATTAAAAGACAGATGTAACAGAAGCGAGACAGTGTCACTGTATCACCAGCACCAAGAGCGAGTGTCCCAACCTCAGGCATATAAGTAACTTAGATTTGCAAGTACATTTTCCAATCAAGAAGTGAATCCCAGCCTCATATTTACAAATTTAGACTGGAAATTAAAAGACCGTTTGTAACCATCAGAGGAATGACATCCTGGAACATGTTTTCAGCATGAATAATGAGCCCAAAAAAGTTAATGGATTTAAAGATGGAGCTCAAGATAGGTGAATGGGTTATGTAAACACAGCTGCCTGGAACTCAGAGAGACTGGACTTCATGATCCAGGAGATAACTTCCATTCCATTCCTAATTAAAATACACATACTTTATGAATGTGTGTTGTGGGAGTCAGGTTTTTTTTTTTTTTTTTCCTTTTCATCACTAAATGCTGAAAGAAGGAAATCACTTGTATAGCCATCTGAGAGTTCAACGCTCTATGCTGTCAAAGTCTGTCTCAGGAATATAAAAAAACCTTGCACCACAGAGAAGGGCTCTATTCACTAAGGGACAGGCAAAGAAATCCCTTTTTCCTGTCACTTGCTCATAAAAATTATAACCTCTTAGCAATAAAAGTATGCAGAAAGTAAAGAGAACAGTGCTGATCTGACTACAAAGCTAAGCAGTGGTAGTTTTAAGATCTTCCCATAGGTACAATAAAACAGAACATGTCACCATACGTCATTTTGTACTGAGTAACAATCATTTCCTTAGAATAATGCATGTGGGATCTGCGACCTCCTGAGTCTAAAGAAACAGTGCATTGACGGTGTTTTCACTACACAGTAATTTATTAAATGCATAGTACACACTTGAAGCATATATACTAATAGAGAGACACCCAGGATCACAAGCACTCAGCCAGGCTGCTCTAACACGCCGAGTCTTTATAAAATAATGACCCTAGCTGTTAGTGCTTTGAAATGGGATGTTATTCCTGATGCTGGTGAGAAGTAAAATTGACAACAGAAAAATTCCAAGTCAATTTCAATGCAAAATAAAGAGAGGTTAGCTTAAACATTACATATTCGCTTGTGCTCCTTTACTTCGGTTTGAAACACAGAATATTTAAGGATAAATCAAAAGCAGCAAGTTTCACTCTATACCAGTATTTGCTCAGGAAAAAAAATTAACTTTCAGCATCAGAGCAAGAAAGCCAACAGTACTGCTCACTAACAAAAGGAGATAACTTCCTCATTAAATATCTGTCTCTCACTAAGCAGGCTAATACTACTTTTACCTCAATATATAGAGAGAGAGAAAGGAGAAAGCCTTATTTTGTAAAACACATTCCACCCACTCTAAAAGAATGGCTCCACGAAGGCTGATAGAGGCTTTCAAAAGCAACACAGGATGTTTGGAGGAACTTATGAATCTATCATAAAAATTATATAGTCACACCAGCTGTTTCAGAGACCAGTCAAAAAAACCCCAAACAATTAGCCTAGATTCACTAAAACTCCTACTCACAATTCCAAAATATCATAGCAACACTTTCTAAAAGACAACAAATATCATAACTGATTGGCATTTCAGTAACAATACTTCCAATAATAAGATAATACTTCCAATGTAACCAAATTGGCACTATCAAAAATAAATCCTTGGAATTGGAGTTTATTGTACACAAAACATTTGTTTTATATGACATTTTGGATGTAGAAAATGGAAGACATAATTCATACTTTGGAAACTAAGAAACTGAAGGCTTGTCTGTCCCACTGAGCCCTGGATAACAGAACATTGCTAAATGAAAGAAACAATGACCACAGCACTAGTTTATTCTGAATTAAATATCCAAAGTAGTATTTTAAGAGAAAATTAGTTTCCACATCAAACACAAAATAAAGGTCTAAGAAGAAGGGTCACCTGTGATGTCAACATGCAAGTGTTTTCAACATGCAGGTATTTATATATCCACATGAACTTTACTATCACAAGCTTTTTTTGTTTTCCCTTTTGCCCAGCATTGTTTTTTCCTCTACCAGTCTAGGAGTACAGCTGGGGCTTAAGCAGAATTCTCAGGGAACAATAGCAGAATGCTGCCAAAAACCCAACAACGTACATATAAGACCATCTCTATTGGCTAAAAGTCAGTCTAAACCTTATTGGATGTGCAGGTAGACAACAGGAGTATCGCCTCAGCCTGGATTGTCCCCTTAAAAACTTTCACTGTTTAAAATCTTACTATATTAGCCACAAAACCCCTTAACACTTTCTGAGTGACTCCAAGCATTGAAGTACTGCAATCCTTCTGGAAGGTTAAATCTGCTAGATTTTCTTTCTTGTTAAATCTCAAGATGGTCATCTCAGCTTAATAAGCACAACGTATCAGATCTTCATGTCTGACAGGTTTTGTTTCTGTATATATTAAATATACTGATGCAATATATTTACATCAGTGAATTTACACCCAGTGCAAGTTATGTTGGTTTATAACACTATGCTACTCATGGTCACCTTTGAATCACTAGGACCTGATTGTATTTAAGAAAAATTCTGTTTGTGATATTAATTAAATGCTAGCACTTGAACAACCCATATCACATTAAATGTACTCAAGGACAGAGCTCAGAATCTGAAGCTAGTTCCAAAACACTATGGAGTAGGTACTTACTGAGATCCTCTGCCAGCTGGACCCTCTTGCCAGTTAGGAGCTTCACCTTTTTGTCATTGTCCTCAGCAAAATCTTCAAGCACTTCTTTTACATTCTTCTCCAAGCGCCTTACTGTAAAAAGCCCAAAACAACAAACCAACCAAAAAAAAAAAAAGTGAGTGGTAACACTTTTGCACCTGTAATTTTGGGAGATCTGTGGGAGATGTAGTATATGTTACCAGACTAACTAATCTGCTTGAGAGAAGGCAAACTTCTGAACACATAAGCCTCTTGTTTTTGCCATTAGGACAGGAACTCCTTGAGAAAGTTGTTTAAATGTCAAAGGATATTTTCTCTTGGAATTAAATCATTGTTGTATGACTATTTTTAGGAGATAAAAATATTTGCTATTAAATTCAGCAGTTTCTTCTTTGAGACTGAGTGTCCAATAAATCTTTCATTCTAAGCATTCTTGCTGCCTCCTCCTTCACAGTTGCACTTTTGGTATCAACATCAGCCTCAGATGAATCAAGGCCAAGTCACTTAAAGGTGAAAAATGGAAAAAGAATGGTGACAGCAGAGTGAGGTACTGAAGGACTGACAACACACAAAGTGGGGGTGCTGCTGTATATACAAGGCTATGAGGAATCAAAAGCTCTTTAAAGCAGTTCCATCCTAACACTCATATCCTTGCCCTTCATACGTAGAGGGAGTAATTCCTAATGAAACTTCCTAATTTTCAGCCCAGAGGTTGATAATGAGGTAGGTGGTCTGAAGAGACAGGAATAGCTTTCTACATTTAGGGTCAGTTTCTTCTCCATGGAGGGTAACTTGCATCATGTGACAAGGTTCAGACCTTTTACTGAGACCTTCAAGAAGCAGGTTGAAACTGTTTTATGCATCAAAGGTCATTATTAGTAGTTGCACCATGGCACTAGCTGATTGCTACATAAATAATGTTTTACAAGGAAGTTGCTGCTGTATAAGCTTGTCTAGATATGCATGGCTTTAAAAAAAAAAATCCATTATAATTGATTTTTTATATCAAACATTTTTAAATTAAAATCTGCAGTCAGATTGACCTGAGAAAAAAAAGAATGTAGTCACTATTTATTGAAATTCTTTCTGCTGTGAAAGAGATATTGACAATTGACATCAGGTAAGCTGAAAATCTTTTAAGCTGCAGAGTGTCTTAATTATTTGACATTCTATTAACACTAAATCCTTGATGTAAATACACTGTCAAATTTTATTTACGCTGCACATTTTAATTAACCAGGACACAAAGATCAGCCAGCGATGCTAAGCATGAAAGGGACACAGAGCAGGAGGAACACTAGAAAATTTCTAAATGATGTTTTGTTTCAAACACCTCAACTCACTGTGAGCCTTACCTTCAGTGTTAGTGAGCTGCTGCCTCAGCGTATTTGCCGTAATTGCCAGCATTCGCTGTATCCGCCAGAAGAGGACAATATCATTACATTCCAGCTGGAAGGAGGAAGTTGCAGCGTCAGACCCCTGATGGCCAGTGAACATCCTACACTTAAAGGAACCTCTCAACACTTTTAGTGGTAACTGTAAACTCATGTATACATATCCTGATCTCGCACAAAAATCCCATGGAATAACTGCTCCAAGTAATAAGGAAACACCAAAAATACTTCTCAAGAACTGTGCTGGCCTTATTTAATACACTCCATCATCTTTACATCTGCTATTTTCATCACAAAGAGAAAAATCAAGGGATATCACGGAAAAACAATTTGCACACACTATATTCAGGCTGGTGAGTAAAACCTAACACTCACTGAAAAGCCACACATGTTCACAGCAAACACAGAAAAGACAACAGCTCAACTCCATGTTGCAACTCCCCATCTCACAGATGTTTTTGAAGACAGTGATGGGCCAAGGGCTGTATTTGTTAACAACAGAGGAGACAGTTTCTAAACCTGCAAGGATGGCAGGAAGGAGCACTAACAATCTTAAACACACAATAACAGGACCAGAAGGTTAAGCGTCACAGGGAGGCAGCTCTCCACTCTGTGATCTCATTCTCTCATCTCTTACAGGCAAAGGTGCTTCTACAGTAAAGAAGATTTCTGGCTCCTTGGGGATCGTATCTCCCATGAAAAAGAAAAACAAAACCCCACAGAAAGTGAGAAGCTCTACTTTTTCAGTAATCTCTTTTTGATTTAAAATATAATGGCAAGAAAACCGTCATTTAAAAGATCTGTTTGTGAGCTCCATAGTTATTTTTGTTTTTTCCTGTTGATCACATGTGGTTCCAAATATTAACTCTAAACACTTATCATACTTATCCCATAAGAAAATCCTTACTTAATGTTTGCTGAATTTTTTTGTTATGAGATAGATAAATATCAATGGGAAAGCGGGAGACATGGATACCAACAAGATATCAACAGCTATACAATTCTGCTTTTAACAGTGTATTTTCAACACACATTGATAAATAACAGATGTTTAGGTCATGGCTAATGCTTAGTGGTCATTTTATAATTGCCACCAGGATGGCATTTTAATGATTACAAGCCTGTCTAAAAACATATCTAAGATTACCAGCTATCTCAAGATAAAAGATATAAAAGAAGGGTTAGGCTATTTGTGGAATTATTTTTTTTCCAATGGAGATGGAAATATTGAGGTAGAACCCCAGTGTGTGTCTGTTCTTCAATTTACCTCCGAGTCCACAAAATGCCTCTGGTAATAATAGAAGCCTCTTCGACATAGGTTGCAGTGGTTCAAAGCAGTCTTCAGGAAATATCTTCTATAAATTTGGTGCCATGTGTCTTTAATCTAAGGAAAACAGTACTTAAATTTGACTAGATCAATACATACACTCAGTACCGTGCATAGTTTAATGACCGTGTTTAATTTAAAAATATAACTCCGAATTCCACTATCGCTGTCACGTAATAGATGTTTAAATATTTCTCAACAATTTGTCCGCAACTGGGATATGATTAATGTGTTAGTTTGGCAAACATTACAGAGGATTGTCAATTTAAAAATCTACTCTTCCATGCTTGCAACATAATGGAAAGCTTAAGAATATTGTCTTTAGCCAAAATAACATTAGAATTATATACTACAAAAAATTCTTCTGCTCTTAGCTCTTCACATCAACACTGAGAATACATTTTTGAGTGATACCCATTATTCATCAATTAAACCAGATTAAAGCATAGAGAAATAGTTAATGGGTCTTATGTAAACAAACATTTGTAACTTTTTTTGAGTAGGCTTATTTATGTTCCAGTTCTTCAAAATGAAATATGCATATAGATATGGCTTGTCGAAAAAACCATAAAATAAAATTAAGAAATCAATTGCTTAGCTAGAAAGCAAACTCACTTTGCACTCAGTCTCCTCATGTTGATGATCACTACTACTCTGGCCTTTACAAAAAGGTATGTTGAGTGCTATATAGGAAAGGGGCAGCAGGTATCTAAATAACTCTTCTCCCTTGAACAAGTACATGTATTAATGTTGAAAAGGTAGCTAAAGTTACTGCAGAAAATGAATCACTGTTAAAGGAAATGGACATCTATGACTTACTAATGCTGAATTCTCATTTATTTAAAATCTTACATTTAATTAGATAAAAGGTCTAATTATGATTAAGAGCCTTAACACTACAATGAGGCAAGTAATTTTCCAGAACATTTTAAACGCACAATATATTCCCTCAGGGCATTCTAAAAAAACAAACAAACAAACAAAAACCCCAGACAAACCAACCCTGCCTTTTTCCAAGTATTTTTACAAAATTTCCCTCTCTTCAATGTACTTATGAACTTCAAACTGTGTGTACAACCACACCAAAAGCTTAGGAATGCACAGTACGTTTCTAGCGTATCTTGCTCATAAAGGCCCTGATTCCACTATATAACATCTGAACAGTAATTTTAAGCAAGACTTGTGAAAACAGAGGCGAGAAAATCTGCTCAGCAGATTCTGATTTCAGTCTAAACTGCTGGATTCCAAAGCGTTGTACTGCATTTGTCTGACAGCCAACAGAAGTGTGTGAATTGCGTGCGAGCAGTCATTTAGTAATTCGTTTGGAAACATCTGGATTACAAAGGCAGTATTTAGATGGGATTCCTTTGTACGCTGTCGAAAAAGAACATGCAAATGTTCACAGGGGGCTTCCATATGTTTTGTTACAATTCTGCATCTTACCAGACATGGGTCCACTGTTATTCCTCTTGCTTCAAGATTCTTTCTGACAGTCGTCACTTCATCATTTGCCAGATAAGCTGCATGTTCTTCATTGCATTTGATTAATTTCTCAAGTTCATTTTTTGTTTCATTACGAATATTCTAGGATAAGAACGATTAGACTTAATTGTTAGAGATTCAGAGATCATCAGCACCTCTTCAATAAACAGTCTACCTGCTTAATAAGCCACAACAGAAAATACCTTTGACATTATTAGCTATTACATTTAGATGACTCAAATGGGTATTTGTGCAAAGACATCTCAAATACAGTATTTTTAGATGGATAATTCACTGTCAATTTTTCATATTCTTCTCTTTCCATTATGCACAGAAACGCAGAAGAGGAAGAGAAAGAGAAGGATAGATAAAAAATAGTAGAAAACAATAGATGTTAACCTCTTTTCCCCTCCATGAACATCCAGTAGCAGGGTTCCAATTCACATATCACCTGTGACACTGATGAGAATTGTAATTGTAGCCTAACAACTAGCAAGAGCTCTCTCTATGGATTCGTACCTTTACGTTGCTGTTCACTAAGTTCAAGTAAGATAGGTTGAAGTCACTGCCTTTTTCCCATACCTTGCTGCAGACAGTTGACTGTAAAGCTCCTTCCTCTGAAACAATTACTTTCTACTGTATTCTTTTAAACTCTACTTACTCCTTTAAAGAATCATTCAGTTTGAGAAATATCTAGAAAAAGTAACATAAAAAGCCCATCATCTCTGGGCATTGAATGGAAGGTACTATTTAAATTCAAAAGAAATTTCAAAAAGGTATGAGCAAACGAGAAGAGAGGTTATGATGAAAACGGTCAATCAGAAAATACAACTGTGACTACTAGAATGCTAGTGATAATGCTATCAGGTACTAATTAAACCCAAATGAAGCATGAAAGGAAACAGCACGTGACTTCTGCTTAAAAGGCTTGCTTAGAAAGCACAGAAGAGAATAGCCTGGTTTCCACCCTGTTTTCATCAATTTCTTTCGACTGGAAGAACTTTAATATTAATGTCAAAGCCATAGTAGTAAAGATGTAATTCAGAGGAAGAATGGAAAACAGTTTACAAACCACTATGTGTCTGCAATATGAATAAAGGATATGGAATTCTCTGTGGTGCAATATTTAAAACAATGAATAGTAAAAGTAATTGTAATGTATTTAAAAGTAATTTTTTTTAATCATCTAAATAGTGTGAAGAAGGTTGGTATTTCTGAAAATTTATAAGTAATAATCCAAGTTTTCTAAAGGTAGTGAACTACAAGTTTTTTACTTCCCCCCCCCCCCCCCCCCTTTACCTGTTCTTTGGTGCGGCCTATCCAGTATAACCATCTTTTTTTCCAGTCTGGACCCACCATATCTTCAATAACAGACTCAGCTAAAAAAAGAATCATAGTATGAAGTATCACTTAAAGTATATGTAAGCAGCCAAACTTATAGTTCTAAAACAGGTACAAGATCAAGAATGGACATTTTATGCCTGAGAACATAAGATATGCCACACTGTCTTTTACTTCAAGCAACAGTCGATGCCTTTCACTAGAAAATAACTGCCAACCAGTAGATACTTCAAGGAAGTATATAAAAAAAAAAAAAATAGACATCCCTGCACTAGTTCAGCCCTCCAGTTTCCAAATTGGCATTTAAAAAAAAAAAAAAAATCTTACCATGTTGCAACTTGCACCAAAATTAATTATGCTTGATAACCATAAATGGACCAATTACTTTCCCTGAATTTGTCCTATTCTTCTACATGTGCATTCATACCATTTTTTAACTCTACAAGACCTCTGTTACTCATTTTTCAGTTGCCTCACTGCAAGAGCAAGAGCACTGGCTTTTAAGGCTGTATTTTGCTAAATGTTTCTATCAGTATTGGTCCCAGTTTAAAATGTCACCATCATCTCAGTTGTGCTGCTACAAAAAGCTTGCACTGCAACAAAGTGAACTAGATCTGGAAATTGGCCCAGATTGAAAAGCACAAGATTGGAAAACATCACACAACTCACTGTCTTTGAGACGACTTTGGAGAGTCTCTTCCATAAAATGAATAGCTGCATCCCACTGCTGTTTATCAGATATTGACCGATCTTCTAAAGCATTGTGTTGGATCACTCGCTGCAATACAGAACATTGTTTTAGCACACAATAAATTCATGATTTAGTAAAAGAAGATTTCTGACATTCTCTTCATTTTTTGAGGTCTACAAAACCAACATTTGTCAGGCACACAGGGTTTATTCAAGAGGCATCTTTTCAAAGCACTGCCAAAAATATTTTCTGTGCCTTTAGTTTGACTCGCTTCTATAGCACAGCATAAACAATGTAAAAAAAAAAAAAAAATAAATACAGTAAACAACATGAAATCCCTCCGGATGACAGAATCTACAAAGGTGGTAATTAAATACTGTTATTTTATGTGGCTACACTTAACAGAACAAAGAAGCTAAACAATTCTCACAAGGCTGTCCTTGGGCAGCCAGGCAATTATGGAGAGCTTTTCCCTGAACCAATCAAACCAATTTTATTAGATGTTATTGAGGGCAATAATTAACAAAAGGTAACAATAAAATTAATTAAGAAACACTGAATTAAAACACTATGTAGAAAAGGAGAGATGGAGACATCTCCCTATCATTTTATGATTATGTTAAAAAAATGCAAAAATGCTGAATATCCAACTTTAGTAAAAAGATTTCAACAGCACTTAGTCAACAATGCAAAAAAACCCACTACATTGTACCAGGCTATCCTCCGCTCGCTCATTCCATTTGTGTCGTTTAATACTTTCTTCTTTGACAGCTTGCTTCAGTTTATCAAAGATATCATCGTGCTCTTTTCCTTTATGTTCTGTCATGAAGCGGGCAAATTCTTCTTGCAAAGTCTCCCACGCCACCTAGAGAGTTAGCAAACAATGTCTACTCCCGTGGAGCATTACACCACGCACCAGCTGGTAAAGAAACATTTATGACAATTCTTGCATACATTCTGAAAACAACATACAAGCATAAGAATACGCAACTGTCCTTTCCTTTACTGCTTTATCCATTACTAATAAAGTAAAACTAAACCTTGTTTTGCTTTGTTCTAGCAAGTGGAATTCTGTTAAACTTGCACAAATCTATTAAATATGAGCATACCTAGCATGAAGGTTTTGTTTAACTTTTTAGAAGAAGGGATTTTCACCAGAAAAGCAAAATGCAGTGTTCCTGCTGTATGTGCTTCTCAACATCAAGAACTTGCTTTTCTGACATGTAAGCTGCTTAAAAGAACTACAGTCAGGCCTTCAAACCAACGCATTACTTTTCTGGAGCTACACTTTCATTTCAACAGGCTTTGCACTGAATTTATTTTTTGTAAATAACTAAATTCTCACCTCTACTGCTTTATTAGGCAGTTGCTTGTCAGTCCACTGCTTCAGTTTGATGTCTACAGTGGTGTTAAATGTCCCTGAGTTCATAGTCTGTGCTGCTGGAAGGTAGATATTCTCAATCACATGAGTAGATACCCTCTCCCATAAAGTTTTCTGAAGAATCTCCTCCCTAAAACACAAAGTTATAACATATATGATGGCTTCCAATAAAAAAGCATCTACCAAGCATGCATTCAATTTGTTAAAGACACTAAGAAAACAAAGCTACAGAACGCAGGAAATACTTTTAAACATCAGGACGCAACTTCAACTAAAATCCACTTGGAACTAAGGACACAAATGCACAATGTTTCCAGCAGCAAAGACAGCTTCAGACGTTGGCCTCTGACTCTTACGGCTGCCACTGCATTCACAACAGCTCTTCGCAGCCTTTAATTGAACCAATCTAACCATGCAGAGCCACGTGTGCGTATGTATGGCAGGTGGGAGAATGACATGGGGGACTTTAATTGAACCAATCTAACCATGCAGAGCCACGTGTGCGTATGTATGGCAGGTGGGGGAATGACATGGGGGAGACTGTAAAGCACTGAAATTATTTGACTAAAAGTCCACACTCCAAAGAAAGCACATGGGTTTTGTTTCTGTAGTATTGATTTGTTTTTTGCAACATGCTGTAGTTTTCCATCTGGGATTTTCATTGATAGTTCCCAGATTCAATAAACAATGAAGCAAGTTGAGAAGTCCAACCTTGTAGCAAAATGTGTATTGACATTCATTTATAAATATGCCTTATGTCACTGTAAGCACCACTTTCCTATTTATGATGTGTTTCAAGAAGTAACAATGGAAACAATCTAACTTTAAATCCTGTAAAATGATAATAAACTTACTCAGGAACTTTGTAGCTGCAGTGAAAGAGCTCAGCTGAGCCAGTGTAACATGCAGCTGGTACCCACAGAGGCCATCAGGCTCCTCCTGCTCCTGCCACATTCTCCAGTATGGGTTGGGGGTTTCTTGCAGGTTAATTTCATGCTAGCTCAGCATGCTAAATCCCCTTTCCAATAGCTCATATGAATGCCACATTTGGTAGAGTGGTAAGAGGTAAGAGCCAAAAAACAAAAACTGCCTTTTTGTTTTTTTGGTGGTACAAGACTGTCAGACTCACTGAAGCCCCTTTCTTCCAAATGGGCTGAAGTTCAGGACACAAACCTCATCCCTGATAATGCCCCTACTCTAACTAGGGCATCCGTGGATAAGGACTGAAAAACTCATAGATATCACTCCTCCTCCCATTACAACAATGGCATAATTAAAAATTTATCTTTTGTGTTTAAAGCATCCTTGTTTAAGATCAAAAAATTTTGAAGCTTTCGACATGCCAGTAAAATGGAGATCAAGCCACTGGTTTTCCTACTTTTGGAACAGACCTTTAGCATATTTAGGGTAGTAGTAGTATTCATACAAAATTAAAAGGAACTCAAGCATTTAAAAAACATTGAAAGAATTCACTATAAATAAAAATTAATATTGCCATCAGTAAAAAAAAATTTTCCTTGAAAAACTTTATTCAAAATAGGATGATTCGGATAGCATTCAAAGACCAATTATTGATCATTCTTGATCACCATTAAAAGAACTGGGGATGCAGCAAATAAATTTCACTTACAAGTTGTACTAGAAACCATCTGTTAGGGATTTTACCACTTAAAAATGCACTGTAGGAGAAGGGCAGTCGTCTGATTAAGAACAAATGCAATCTCATTCCTTCTTTACTGACGTGTCAGTAAAAATATACTTTTCCTGTGCTAATCCAATCAAACCTAATTGGAAGTAATGGAAATTTGCACAGGATAGAAACACTCACATTCATCAAATGCACTGCTGTTTTTAGGCTGCATATAATGACTAACAGAAGCATTTTGTCATGACTTAGCTTTCCAGCTCTACTTTATAGCTCATTAAGTGCTATAAAACTAGAATCACCGCTACATTTTAACTTTCAAAAAAACCACACAGAAATATTCATGTTACACACCCACCCAACCCACAACATAAACAGCAGCAGACTAGAGATAGAATAGGGTACGGCAGCATCTATCACACAGCAAAATGCAGCAAACAGCATGGCTAACCTGCAATGCATCTGGACTAGAACAGAACTTCAGACTAAAACACTGCCTACAACATTTTCTCTGAACACATCCACATGCCCAGAATAATTCTAATGTCATTAAGAGTCACAAATTATCTCTGTTTTTAATCTAAAACCAAGTAACAGTTCAATTCAGGTCAGTGAAGGTCAAGACATTAAAGAAAACTTTCTCATGGAATCATACAATTGTCTAGGTTGGATGGGACCTTTCAAATCATCAAGTCCAGCCATCAACCTAACACTGACAAAAAACATCACTAAACCATATTGCTAAGCTCTACGTCTACCTGTCTTTTAAATGCCCCCAGGGATGGCAATTCCATCACTTCCTTGATCAATCTTTTTTTCATGGTTCTCAGTTTTGGTTACTGTCAAAGTAACCCTTTACACTGGCTATTCTCCTCTGAACCTGCATCTACAGTGGCTTTACAGTGACGCTCCACTCTTAAAATACTTCGGCTCAGCACTCTCTCTCACCCTATATCTGCCTTACAATGAAGTAGGGCAGCGTAACATGGTGCTACTCAGTTGAAGCTACCAACAAGATCTATACTTACGATGAAATTCTCAAACATCCAGACTAGCTTTTTACAACCAGGAATTACAATCTTTAAACTTCCAAATCTCCACTTTAGTGATACACAGAGCTTTATTTTTCAAAGATCATATATATGCACGATGATAATCCCCAAACATCAAGTTAAGAGGAATTACTGATTCATACTTCAAATGAACATCTGAAAACATCTTTATTATGACTGTTCCTTTTCGTTTTTGAGGAATATCTATCACTCTTTATATTGTATAAAAACAGAACAAAACACAAACTGACATCATATAATTTTTGTCAAGGGATTATACAAGTATTTGCTGATTCAAAAGAATAAGCAAGCATAGACTACTTCCACAGGGTCTAAGAACATAATAATAGTGTCCTAAGAAAAACAGTTTCTTATTAATATTTGAGATTTTTACTAAAATTCTTTATATGTTAATATTTATATTCTGGTAGTTAATTTAAAAAAAAAAAGGGAAAAGAAAAAATTACCATACCAGTGCTTTGGTGTGACCTGAGTCAAACTTATGACTTCATCAAGAATCTCATTCTTTGCTTTTTCAAACAGTTCATTCTATGCAAAAGAATAAACATGAAATAGTAAGATTTTAAGTCCAGTTTGATCATGTTTCCATAAAACAAGCAAAAAAACAAAATTTCTTTTCTTACAGCCTTTAAGCCTAAAATGATACCTTCTGGTCATGTTCTGGACAAGGTATGCGCTTGTCTTAAGCTACTCTGGTTTACCATATATCTTCCCACCCATCTCCTGCATGCCTCTGGCCAGGCATGGCACTTGACTATTCAGGATCTCTATAAAAGAATTAGAGAATGGGATCATAACTGATTTGTTACTCTCTTTCAAAGACCAGGGAATGTAACTTCTCTTTGTCAGTTCTGTCATGATCACAAAGAAACACTGACCTACTATTCCTGTAAGTGAGGTCAGTTAACTGCTTACTACAAGAGTGAAGGACTTGGTAAGCATTGAAGTATCACAGTTTTGAAATACACTACTTCATAAAGCAGAGAGTTCAGGATTTCCTTCCCCTAGAATAATTTACACTGTCTTCACACTTTAAAATGCCAGTGTGTTATGTTAACTTTAAGAAAGTTTTATAAATGAGATTAAATGGCACAGATTTTAATCCATAATCTTCAACACACACATTAAAGCAGTAGCATAATTTACCCTGTCAAGCTCTCTCAGCCGGGGGTAATTGTTCTTCCATTCAGTCTCAAGATTGAAACGTGTGGCTGCAAAAATCAGAAACAAGGCCTTAATTTTTTCTTTTTTAAATTGTCTATATGCACTTCATTACTATCTTGAAAGTTTAGCAACTCCTAAAATTGCCACAAATCTTGCTTATGACAAACCCTCCAAGAACCTCAAGGCTTCTGCAACTAAGCAAAGTTTTTTTGCTATCTATGCTTAGATATTACATCTGCACATTGCAGGATTTGTGAATTGAAAGAATGTAGTGGAAATAGAGCCATTCATCTTCCAGCTCTGTACAAGTCAGTCCTGCCCCAGATGATCAGATGGTATCTTTATATAGGAAACCATTTTAAACAACATCTGAAGACAGAAGAAATGTGTTTTGCCCTTAAAAAACCTGGGGTTTTTTCTCCATACTTATTTAGAGTTAGTCGGTCCTTTATACAATGAATTATTTTTTTATGTATTTTTGTAAAGATTAAGTAGGGCAATTACCAATAAATAAGAAATTGTGATCATATAAAACACAACTGCTCAAGCATGCCAGGAAAACAATATTTCATGTATGTGGAAGAACTAACTGTTTAACAGGAAGTTGTTATTTCACTTGGGTTTTGAAAAGACTTTACCTTTAAAAGCATCTGCTTGCTGCTCCACGGACTCTCGCACCATCTTCCAAAAGCAATCTGACACAGCAAGGCTTAAGTTCTTTGTTGTTACCTGGTGTGCCTTCAGCATACATGTCCTGTAAAGAAACACAGCCAGAGGAAATTCTTCTATGCGTACCTGCGCTTTCTGGCCCCCATTTTCTCCTCAAGAATAAAGCTTTGCTTTTATAGCAGAGAATACCATGTCAATGTGCACCTAACCCAAATCCTAGTCTATTCCTCCAAAATATTCAATGCAGATAATCACCAAAGCAAGGGGAAAAAAAAGACACACCCCAGCTCCCCAAAAAAACACCACAAATATTTTTTTATTCTAGAGGCTGCAGTGCAGGTACTGCAGTCCCAAAGACCCTGTAACTTACTTTCCTGAGAAAATACAAGCCTGTGAAATCAAAACTCTGCTCAATCAACTGCCAGCAGAACACCTAAGCTAACCCTTTGAATCCCATATTTTTGTCACACCAAGATGATTGATATTTAGAGGCGTTAAACTCATATTTGGGCTGGATTCACCCCTCCCAGCTGTAGCAGGTGCCCAGATATAGGCTGGGAATTTAGTTCTTCTAAAGCCAATGGAGACACACAGAAACCTCGGAAGAGAGGTTCTCTGCAGAGGAATCAATTCCTGCCTGAGGATGCCTGTCTCTCCACTGAGTTACAGCAAGCATAAAGAAACCAGGCTAACTTGGTCACCTCAGCAAGATACTTAATTTAAACAGATTAAATACCAAATGGTGTTTCAACACTGCAACCCTTTATAAGTTCAACAAGAAAAACCATTGCTAGCATTTACCAATACAGGTTCATTTTAGTAAAAGGAATAAATAGCAACATACTTCAACAGCTTTGAATTTTGAAAAAATTCCTCTTCATATTCTTTAATAGATTCAATGCTTTCACTGCTGTTTCCTGGAGAAAGAAAAGAGTGCTGAACAGTTCCATTCAGACAGTTTTCTCTGCTATAAAGGAGAAAATAAGCAAAGCCAGAGCTCTCTTTACCTTTTCCAGTAACAACTGCAAAATAACCCAAAGCTTTCATTGGAAAGAGTTTGCCTTCAATTATTTGCTGGATCTATAAAAATAAAGGATTAAAAAAAAAAAAGTGGTTAACTTTGCACAGAGACATTGTTTCCTTCAGCGCAGTTTTAAAGCCAGATGGAGCTGTAGCTATGCAGAGACCACTGTAAGAAGCACTTTGTCATGGGACTATGAGTTCTACTGATATTTAAAAGGAAAAAAAATATTAAGGCATAAGCCAAATAAGGCATAACATAGCAAAACAAAAAATAAAATGAAAAAGTCTGTCCTAGAATATCCTAAAGCCTTTTCAGGAAGTGGGACTTGCTCAGGTCACCTGCATGAAAGGAACCAGTCTTACAGCAAGCTGTAGCCAAGCTGTACTGAAGTCATGTAACTCATCACTAAACACAAATGCTGAGAGAGATTAAAACAACCGCCACTAAAAAAACACCAAAACATACTGAGTACAGAAATAACCCAAACCCATCTATAACAGCTTGGTGAGGTCCAATATTTCTGACAGTTATCTCAAGTATTTTTCCACAAGTGACTTTAGCCTCAAATTGAGAAATATAGTTTCAACTCACCCTGCTTGGGCTTGCTACATTTTTCTCAGCAAGATCAACTTTAGTCAACACAAAAATTGTCCTTTTTCCTTGGGGATCCATTTGGCTGACCAAGTCTGTAACAATACTGCGTTCTGCATCCACTGATCCATCTAAAATAAACAAAAACAAAGTTACACTTTAGGGACTGTGGAATCTAACATGCAGTACTGAAGATACAGCAGCCATCAAGTAAGTTTCATGTTACAATTTAAGCCCAGTAAAGTTACACTAATATGCAATTTCTGGGTACACACAGTGAAAATTTGATTTGTTCCCAGTATCATAAAAAAATTAGTTTGTTGTAGCTGTTATAAGTTTTGAACAATTACCAGCTTGCTCAAAATTAAAGTCTATTATTGACTCTTGCCTCCACACTTTTGAAGAAATCTTGAATTTTATTGTCACCATTTTATTTATGATAAAAACTCTTACCAAAAAGTTGCTTTTTGCCACAGATAACAAAAGGTGCCCTAATTTTTAAACAGACCACAGCATGCTGTTTTGTTTTGTACACTACACAAATTACCACAAATGGAAAAAAAAAAATATAATCAGGGGAGTTCCCAGAGCAATGTAAGAATCACAAATAAAGAATAAAAAAAATCCTGCCAGTTAGATAACCATCTAAACTCTTATTACCTTGAATACAAAGGATGATGGCATTAGGATTCTGCATGTAGGCCTTGCTGATGCTAAAGATAGTTTCCTTCGTATCTGGAGCCATACCTGATGTCACAGTCTTTAATATGTATATGGAGATATATATTTAAAGGAAAAAAGAAAACAGGAAGATGTAAAAAAGAAAAACAATAGCTAATGTTCTCACCAATAACACTACCTCATTTAACAGGTCTTGAAGATTTATTTATTTATTTATTGCATACTTACACTGATGACTCCAGGTAAATCAACCAGTACCATCCTCTGCAATCCAGGACCTTTCACACTTAAGGAGATGGTCTGTGAAGGAAAATTGAAATTAAAGATTTATACACACACCTACTTGGTATGTAATTACATACACAAACACACACATAAAAATATATAAATGCCTATTTACACACAAGTGCTTTAAACCAGCAACAGATTGTAATTTTAAACAGAAAGTCAAATTTTATATGCATGTATTTGTGGTATAAAACTGATTTTAACAGTCCAAATACACTTTGTATAGTGCAAGATATTAAGTATACACAAACTGGATTCACCATAGTCTCCTATTTGAAAAATATGTCCCAAAAGATATACATGTACAGACGTTTGCCACTAGACATTTGACAAGCCTTACCTCAGTGCTAACAGTGCACCCTTCCTTCACACTATTTCTCATTCTGATTTCTATTTCATTTCTCAAAGCTGCAAGCTGTTTTGGGAAAAGCAAAATATAAAATTCCTTATAATTGTGATAGAAGAAAAGTCACCAACATAAGTAAAAAAAGCTTACTTAGTGTTTATAAACAGAAATCTTAATCCTATCTCAAATGCACGTTGAATAACTATATTGGGTACATGGGGCGCTAAATGATAGATTACCTGCAGACTCCTGCATACTCCAAAAAATGTCTTGGCACAAGAGCTCTTCCTACATTTTATCCACTTCAGTGCAAGCCAAAAACCACACTAAGAGATAATTTAATAGCTAATATAATTTCTTGCCCCACTAAATATATTTCACTCCAATTAAACAGGGGCCAACAGCTCACAAAGATACAAAATTTTTCAGAGAATTAATAAAAGTCACATCAACTTTCAGTCCCTTCTTTATACTTACATCCTCTTCCTTGGTCAGATCAAACTCCCGAGAGCTGTCTTTGAATAAAGCCACGTGGTGGGGACCTTCACTAAGGGTTACCTAAATGGTAAAAGCCTTATATGAGAAAGTATGGTAAATCTAATAAAGAGAATTGTGAGAAGCACATAACACATATATGCTTCCCACTGCAGACACATATATAATGCTTATTTACCACAGGACTACTTATAGCAGGAAGTACTACTACTCTGACAGTATATATGGATCACATATAGGCCTGCAGAAGTTTTGTATTGACTGCAACAACTCACTCGCTTAGAGGCCATTTTATAAGCAATGTTAGAATATACTTCAATTGATGGCATAATCAGATGGAGAACAATACAGCAAATGCTAATTCAGATATTATGATGTTTCTTACCTTAACAGGGGAACGTGTCATCATCTCCCCAGACCCTCGAGGGAATATGCGGGCTTGGGCGATCATTTCTAAAACGCTGGTCTTTCCTGCGCTTTGATCTCCAACCACCACCACCTTAAGTGAAAGTTTAAACAGCCATTGGCTTTGAGCCGGACATTTCGGAAGCTTAGACAAAAGCTGACTTAAAATATGTTAATCTGTATCAACATGGGCTGTATTATGTTTGACAAGAAATGCATTGGTTTAAATGTGGAATCCTTGAATAAATTCTAAATTTAAGTCACACAAAAAAACCTGACCTGTGCTTAAGACAGCACAGGGTACAAAGCACCCTAACAGGCCCAACCTGCCAGGCCACCTAAGAAAGAGAGAAGGGCTTGGTGTTCTCCTGGCAGGCAGTTCTCTCCTGGAAATCCTGAAAAATCCTTTCAGCAGGCAAAACACTGGAGATTACTCTTCTGGTAGGTGCTGCTTCTGCCCAGAGAAGGATGAATTCTTATGTAAGTGTTGTTGCTTCCCTATCTCGCTGGCTTCCTACAGAAACCACAAGTGCTACAGGGGGTTGTGCAAGCAGAAAGTGTTCCCTGCTCCCCCTCCAGCAGCCATAGGGAGAACCAAAGCCCTTTGCAGGCTCCCCCTCCACAGCAGCCCTGCTGGGGACCTGGCCAGGGCATGTCTCCTTCCCTGCTCTGCCTGTATGTGCCAGGAAACAACAGTCATTTTTCAACCCCGAGAAGGCTGGGGTGCCCCCACTGAAAACAAAAGGCTGAGCACAGCAGCAGTATCTGGATCTAGGTAGGGTTTATCTGAGCCGAGACAGACTTCATATAGTTACACTGGTTATTCTCAAAATCCTCTTATGCTTCCCTATCTCGCTGGCTTCCTACAGAAACCACAAGTGCTACAGGGGGTTGTGCAAGCAGAAAGTGTTCCCTGCTCCCCCTCCAGCAGCCATAGGGAGAACCAAAGCCCTTTGCAGGCTCCCCCTCCACAGCAGCCCTGCTGGGGACCTGGCCAGGGCATGTCTCCTTCCCTGCTCTGCCTGTATGTGCCAGGAAACAACAGTCATTTTTCAACCCCGAGAAGGCTGGGGTGCCCCCACTGAAAACAAAAGGCTGAGCACAGCAGCAGTATCTGGATCTAGGTAGGGTTTATCTGAGCCGAGACAGACTTCATATAGTTACACTGGTTATTCTCAAAATCCTCTTATTGCATTTAAAATGGAGAACAGGTCTTAAGCAAAAACCCTGAAGTTACAAGAAAATAACCTAGCACTAGCTAGCGTTCCATTCAATTACAAAGACTGGTGTTTCAGTAATAAGCTTTCGATTTTTCATCTACTTACTCGAGGTAGGTGATCTTGAGTGTTATAACTAGCATCATAATCAGACAGGATATCAAGTACTTCAGAATACATATCAATCAAGGATTTCTACAAAAAAGAAAGTATAGAGAAAAAACGCAGTCAATTAACAGAACTAAGACTGGATTCAGATTACTCCATCTGCATATTCTGTAAACTCATATGTAAAAACATGTTTATTCTCTCCTGATGGTTTGAAATCTAAATTGTCCATACTGTGCACAGATCTCTGTTTTATGAGGTACAATACCAAGTAAAGTCATCCCTTGCTTTCTGTGGATGAAAATGTGACAGCTGCAGATGCATCTTGCTGTAGGAGCAAAATGAGAGCTTTTATGTACAAGATAAAAGAACAGCACTCAGACTTCACAATTTACAAGTTAAGAAGCTGAATGGAGTTTCCTCCATTAAATATCTAGACTTAACATTTTCAGCTTGATGAACAGTAAGAATTAACAAGGACATAGAGCTATCAACCTCATTCTATACAAGTAAGAATTCCTTGTCCTCCAGTTTCCAGAGGAAAGAGGAAGATCCATACTGGTCAGCAAGTGACACAGAGAGGGGCAGAAAACATCTGGTTTTAGAACACTCAGGATGTTGGCAGACAAAAGCAAAAGTGTACTTAGTTCAGTCTCCCTGGATTTACACGGGGCCACGAAAAGATGTTTCCTGACCCCATAACTGTATTCCTGCCAAACTCAGTAAGGCCCATGACAAAACAGAAAGGTGTCAGACAATGTGTGCAATAGGAGTTGGAATACTCAGGATGTTGGCAGACAAAAGCAAAAGTGTACTTAGTTCAGTCTCCCTGGATTTATACGGGGCCACAAAAAGATGTTTCCTGACCCCGTAACTATATTCCTGCCAAACTCAGTAAGGCCCATGACAAAACAGAAAGGTGTCAGACAATGTGTGCAATAGGAGTTGGAATTATATTTATTACAAATACAGTGAAGCTACATCAAAAACCCAATCCACATTTCCCACTTAGACAAGCTATTTTGTTAGACATGGTCATGCCTTCGTGCTCTTCAACTGAAGCCATTTCCAAAAGTTATATAGTTCAAAAAAAGAGGATGTATAAAAGCTTTACTGTGTCAAAATGTTAGCATAGATATCTTAAAACAAATGTTATCAGTTCATGTATGAATTAACAAATACAATTTACATAGAAAATACGTCAATTATATTTCTATGCTGATCGTAATACATAAGTACCTTTAATTTCCTCTGATGAATTCCCTTGTCATCTCTTTGCAGTACCAATTTTCTTAATTCTTTGTTCTCCTTCTCTAATCGCTCAAGCATTCTTTGGTATTTGAGCTACAAAACAGTGGTGCAAACATACTCTTGTAATTATGGAAATAGTACACTCACACGAGCAAAGTTTCACCTATGAAAAATATATTATGCTTCAGGCAAGTCTTTCAAAAATATAGAAACTTTTGTGATTGCTACAGTTTATTAAAAATACAAGACTATCAAGAGAAGACTGTTAGGATTCTTTTTCAGCAACACCTTTGCTTTAGAAGTTTTAATAAGACCACAATGTTCAAAGTTGGAGACACATAAATAAATCTTCAAGCATCTTAAACAAGAATTATTTTCAAAGGAGCTATACATACGCAGTCAGACAGCAATTAGTGTCAGTGGGAACTGGCTGTTCAATGAAAAAGATCATGGGGCTTAAATGTGAATTTGCAAGCCTAGTTTAGACCCTCTCTTCAGTATAAAACCTCAGTTCAAGAAACAACTGTACCAGCTCAGTCGTGTTTAGAAAGAGATTACAATAGCCCCCTGAAGACCAGAGATGAATAGTTTTCACACCTACTCTGAAAACCGTTTCCTATGATATGGAAATGTATTTGGCCTGACTGTATTTTAAGAACACATCAAATGTCAAGCTGTTATAAAAAATTTGGCCTGACTGTATTTTAAGAACACATCAAATGTCAAACTGTTATAAAAAAAGGTAAGTAATAAATGCTTTCAAAACTAGCAAATGAAAAGATTACCAAACTTCATATCAAAACAATGTGGCTAAGCCAAACAGCCAATTAATTTAGAAGTCTACTGATAGAACAACTCCTTAATAAGTAAATTCATTTCCTTTCTGCAACAAATGTGCCATTTGAACATACAAGACATCACAGATGTATATAGCAGCATTGAAGTTATAAAAGAGAACTGTATAATGTTAGGAGTAATTTAGCATGCATAACAGGTTAAAAAGTGGAATATCACCATTGTATTTACCTAACACTCCTGGGCTAGCTTTACATTTCAGGAATATGTAGCATTGAAGGCAAGAGAGGTATTTTGGGAAAGCATGATTACACATTTGCCCTATTTTTATACTCCCCTCTTGCATTCTGTCAGTCACTGTCAGAAAAAGGACACACTAGACTCACTTTTGGTCTGTGCCAACACAATCAACTCTGTATTGATAAACTCAAAAGGTTGAACAAAGAACTGCATTTTTAGCAAACATAGTATTTCAGGTGTGGTTTTGTTTAGTAAATCAGAGCCTGCTGCACAAAACTCTCTAGTTAACATATCAGTAACTCAAAAAAGTTACCTGAGTGCGTAAAAGTTCTTCTTGAAGCTGATCAATCTTCTCCTTGTCAGAAACCTACAAAGAAAAATAACCAGGGCTACTAACACATTGTTTAGTTTATCCACTGCAAGTAACCAAATCCAAAACTGAAAGCTTCATTCCACAGAAGAAAATTGACTTCACATGCATTTTAAAGCCAGTAAAAATTCTTCAATTAGCATTTGAGATTTAACACTGATGGGAAGTTCCATCTGCAACAGGAGGTTCACATCAAAAAAAAGTCTTAATTCCAGTACATGCAAATGAAAAAGAGTTAACCCTTCAAGACTTAATACTATGAACGTGAGCTTAGGGAAAAGCAAACTCAATATGGTCAGAGTTTTCTGGTGACTGCCCTAAATATAATTTTAGGTCAAACTTTTAGGATTTTATATGTCCCATCCTGAATTATCAGGATCTTATTAGGATACAATCACTAAAACACCTGCTTGCTACAGAAAGTGCTTTCAGGTGAGTATTCATTATTTCTAAGTCTTCAAGGGGATTTTCATTTCATATTTGCTTTGCACAACTTCATAAGTTGTAGTTAGAACAGTCTCGAAGGGTTATTTTAAAATTATTTAAATTACATTAAAATCTGGAAAAATTAGGATAGTATAATACAAAACATTTTGAAGTTAAAGGCATAAAACGTAGCACTAAAACACCTGCTTGCTACAGAAAGTGCTTTCAGGTGAGTATTCATTATTTCTAAGTCTTCAAGGGGATTTTCATTTCATATTTGCTTTGCACAACTTCATAAGTTGTAGTTAGAACAGTCTCGAAGGGTTATTTTAAAATTATTTAAATTACATTAAAATCTGGAAAAATTAGGATAGTATAATACAAAACATTTTGAAGTTAAAGGCATAAAACGTAGTAAGATCAGGCAATTAAAGCCATTCAGTCAAATTTTCTTAAAATAGGTTCATTAAGATGTAATAAACAGTTGTTCAAAACAATAACTTTTTAACAATATAAACATGAAAGCATAAGTGGTGCAATACAAATTCATATAATGTAAATATTTACAAACAACACAAAATCTAATGGTTGACTGATAAATTTAGAAAAAATTATAATCAAAACAATTACTGAAAGAATTATATAGGTAAAAGCTTTAATATTTAAATAAAGCTCATGTGACATTCACATCTCCAGTTAGCTTCGTACCAGAAAGAGTATATTATTTAACATGCAAAGACAGGGTTATTTAGACACTAATCAATTTAGCTACTATAATTTCACATCAGTTGTTACAGATTAAACAAGAAAAAAAAACAATTATCCATAGTGATTGATGATATATCATTGATATTCTTTAGCTATTAAACCTGTAATATACAGGATTGTGCCTGCACTTTATAGAAAGCAACCCAAGCTTCCATCCATATCCAATTATTTTTTTACTCATAAATAGCAAAGAGGAAGTGCTGTATATTGTCTTCCTTTTTATTTCTGTTAATTAGTTCAATGATAGCAACAGTGCATCAAAACCAGAGTTAGTTTAGCACACAGACAACTTGATGCGTGCAGCCACAAGGTGGTATATGTAAATAAGCATTTACATATACACACACTTTAAACACCTCAGAGACATAAGGTGAAAATAAAATTCGACAGGCAAAGGGAATGGTGCAGAGTCAGAAGCAGCAAGAAAAATAAAGGAAAACAGAGTGTTTATGAGCAGTAGGTTTTTGTAGCAGTTAACGTTTGCCCACTCTTTGCTCCTCAGCTGTTCCTGAAAGTACTTCTGGGGCCCTGACGCGTCGCTGAAGGACACACTCAGAGACAGGCTCCCTCCAACCATCTGAGCACTTTTTGTCTTTTCTGCACAGTGCACTTGTGTTAAACACCGTAAGCAAAAATACTGCACATAGCTACACACTGCAAGATCTGAAGCAAAGAACTCGCTAGCATGAGATTATTAATTCTAACAAGGAAAATTAGGTAAATTATGCCAAAAATAACAAAGCACTGTAGAATGATGTACACGGTTCAGGATTTGGTTCAGGAGTGCTTTGAACATTAGTACATATGGTATTTTGGACACGTAGTTCATAATATTGCTAAAAAATTTAACAACCACAGTGTATCAGTATAAACTGTGCTTTAAGAGGGGAAACAAACGAAGGAATAGCTTTGATGAATATACAGAAGAGACTGTTATTAACTGCAGTATTTAATTGTCTGTGCAAAATTGTTTCTAAAGATCTGCTATCATTTTCAGATTGGTACAGTATAAAGCAGGAAAAAATGTTCCCACAGATATAGTGCCTTGTAAATGGCTGTACTCTTACAAGACAGAGCTACCGCAAGCAAGCAACAGTAGAGACTTGACATTTATGCACATACTTTCCTTAAATGCATTTTTAATGTATGAACTTCAAATAACAGTTTTTAGAGGCAGAGAAGATACAATTTCCAAGTGACACAAAGTACCTGTTCTAACACCATGCTTTAAATGCAACTTGGTTAAACTGAAACAGGACTACACGTCTGTAGTGAAGTTGGCTGTAATGATTATTTAGACTCATGATTTAATTAGTTAGATTTTTCTAGCTCAAATGAAGAAGGCTGAAGTATTTGATTAGTGTGCCCTTAAGCCATCACCTTTCGCTTCTGGTGGGAAGAGCCCATGTTATATTGGCCAGCGGCTCTGCGCGCTTCCTCTTCGTGCTGCTGGATTTGTTGTTGTAACAGAATGAGTTCACCGAGCAGGCCCTGCCACGAGTTTATAATAGAAAGGAGAGGAAAAATTTGGGGTGTAAGGAGAACAAGGTTAAACCAAAGGGCACGACAAAGACAGATGAAAAACAGGTATGAATGGGTCAGTTCAAACAAAAGTGAAACTTCATTAGCAAGATCTCTTGCTAACTAGCTGGGAGTGGATATAGCCAGCAAATCATGCATTTTGCAAATCCAGGTAGAACAAAACAATAAACATTTAGCTACATTTTATAATTATATTCAACTTTAACTAAGCATCTAAACCTTAAAAAAATTCTACAATCCTGGCTTTAAAATATTCTCAAAAATTTCAGGATTTCATTTCAATTATCAATACCAGAATTTTTTAAGTATCAGAAATTTTTCACAACTTAATCATGCATGAATTTAAAGAGAGTGCTTTGGACATTCTACACAAAGCTGCACACGAGAGCTAATAGGCTCAACTTTGTCAGGAATGCAAAAGTTCTCATTTTATTCTTATTTCCAGCACCACAGACAGTTCATAGAAAGATGATTTTGCCTGCTACTTAATTGTCTCAAACTAGGAGAAGCAGAAGAGTTTCTAGAGCATAGAGAAAGAAAAAGCTCCCTTTCCACTTCCACAACACACTGCAGCTTAAATTCATGCTGCCATAATCCTTCCTGATCACTTCAAAATCCCTGTAACTCCATGCTTGTTTCTTTACCTATTCAGCATTTCCATGAAGCTGTTTTCTTCTCTCCTCCCTCCACACCAAATATTCTTGTAATGGTAAGCTGTCTTTCAAAATTGGTTTAGAGATACTATGACAGCATCTACTGGACCTTTATGCACAATTTATTTCAGAGAATGTAGACAAAAGTATTAATGAACTGTTTAAATAAAGCTCTTTAAGAAAATATTACATCTCTTTCTAAGAAAACATTCAGTGAATGAAAGGTTTCAAAAATGCACTTTCAGGAATCAAAACAAACTCCAAAATAGAACTTTGGTGTAAGAATTCAAGACATCAACCATCAATTACACATTTGTTGCATGAGATACACACAGGCATGTACACATAAGGATAAACAACACAGGAGAGAATGGATAAAAGAGAGACAATCAAATGACCAAACGTAAGCATTTGTTAAGTAGTGACTTGTATAACATTCCAAGAACAAAAAAATCATCACATTTGTATTTTACTCAACAACGTGCACTTTCAGGAATCAAAACAAACTCCAAAATAGAACTTTGGTGTAAGAATTCAAGACATCAACCATCAATTACACATTTGTTGCATGAGATACACACAGGCATGTACACATAAGGATAAACAACACAGGAGAGAATGGATAAAAGAGAAACAATCAAATGACCAAACGTAAGCATTTTTTAAATATTGACTTGTATAACATTCCAAGAACAGAAAAATCGTCACATTTGTATTTTACTGAACCACTTTAAGATTTAAGAAATTTCTATATTGCCAGACCAGCGAACGCATTAGAGCTGTGCCAAGAACTCAGCCAAAACAAAAGATTTCATTTCTATACAGCAGCAAGGAGAGATGACCTCATAGCTACACCTGGTGTTAAGAGGAACTATAATAATATTTTGCTGTTTCTCAAACAAGCAAACTCGCAATATGACCTGACACAGTTTCTTTAAACATTATGGGTCAAGAAAACACAAGAAAAAACACTGAACAAAGTCTGCCATGAAGGTCTTTTAGCATTTAAGCAGGAACTGTAACAAATGTTCAAAGTCACCGAATCTAACTATTTAATTTGTAATTACTTTCTAAGACACCTGGTCTGTGTGACTCTTAATCAATATGACCTGACACAGTTTCTTTAAACATTATGGGTCAAGAAAACACAAGAAAAAACACTGAACAAAGTCTGCCATGAAGGCCTTTTAGCATTTAAACAGGAACTGTAACAAATGTTCAAAGTCACCAAATCTAACTATTTAATTTGTAATTATTTTCTAAGACATCTGGCCTGTGTGACTCTTACTCCATAGTAAAGTATGAAAAGCCGAATTCAACTACATTTACCCCATTGCGTAAAATATTCAAGTAAAAATTACAGTGACTTATAAGGCCTCTCAAGAATACTATCTTTTTTGTATATGTCGGTCTATAAGATTATTTCCTTTAATAGCACAGAACTATACACAAAATGCCCAGGCTGGTATGAACCAGGACACAAACAAAAATGATGCCCAGGCTGGTATGAACCAGGACACAAAAATATTTACATCTCTCTATCATTGGACACTACCACTGCTTCCACACCCCTGCCCCCAAAATCATCAATCATTCCAGCGTAAAACCAATTTTTTTCCTAGATAAATTTCTTTAAAATAAATCAACATTGATCAATTAATGGGATTTAAAAAACCAAGTTGTTTACAATTGTTATATTATTATTTTCACATCAAAGAAACAATGTAAAGGGGAGTAACACTGGCTGACAAACACAATGGGCTTCCACACCCCTGCCCCCAAAATCATCAATCATTCCAGCGTAAAACCATATTTTTTTTCTAGATAAATTTCTTTAAAATAAATCAACATTGATCAATTAATGGGATTTAAAAAACCAAGTTGTTTACAATTGTTATATTATTATTTTCACATCAAAGAAACAATGTAAAGGGGAGTAACGCTGGCTGACAAACACAATGGCACAAACCCTGCAAAGTCATCATGAGAATCTGGGTGTACAATAAATTTAAAAAAAAACGGCAAAACAAGTGCTGACGCGGCACAAACCCTGCAAAGTCATCATGAGAATGTGGGTGTACAATAAATTAAAAAAAAAAAAAGGCAAAACAAGTGCTGACGTTGTTACTACATATACTTTAAAACTATTTTTAAACTATTACATTATTTTACATTAAAAGTTAATATGCTGTACTTCAGTTGGGTATGACTACCTCTTTAATTTAGAAGTTTCTCATGACTAAAGTATTTGTGTCCATTTTCATGAGCAACCAGAGCCCTGTTTATTTGCACGTCTTGACCCTTTCCACTATTTCCCACTGACTTCAGTGTGACTGTTCATGAGAAAAGCTGAGCCACAATAAGTCTTTGCAGGAAAAATAATTAAATATTGAGGGACGTAAAGGAATGAAAATGGTGAGGAATGCAAAGAGACCAATTTCTAAGAACTTGAATAAATGCCACAATTTAATCAAGAGTCCTTACAACATGAAACTGGGAATTAAGTTGAAAATATAATGGTGCTATGAACAGAAGAGAGAAAATAAGGGAACCTTTACTGCATAACTTGCAAGAAAGAATGAAACAAATGAGAATGTTTAAAAATAAAAGATCCGAGTCAAGTGATATTCCATAATAAAGCTGCTTTTTCCCTCTCCTGCAGTAGCTGTCCTGAAGAGCTGTGCCATTACTGTGCCGCTTCTTACAGGGACTGAAGGTGACCCTGTGCTGGCTGAGCGACGCAGCGTACGCACTGCCAAATCCTTAATGGTACATCACGTTCTTCAAGGTATGAGATTTTATCAAATTACCAAGACAGAGAAAGGACCCTGCAGTTGGTTTTGAATTGTTTATTTATCTGGCTTCTAAGCCTCAAATCAATACTTGAGTTACATTTTTCACACCACTTCATCACAGCTATAGCCACTATAAACTTTCTTTAAGAATTGGGCTGAGCTTTGGAACTTCTTTGCTTGAAGATGAAGCTGAAACTTTTGGAGACAGACAATAGTACAAGATAACTTTCTAAGAAGGCTTAAGTGCAAGCCTGAACTAGTCTCACACATACAATACAATGTACACACTACACCATAGTTATAAAAGTTATCTTCTCAACTAGTCTCACACATACAATACAATGTACATACTACATCATAGTTATGAAAGTTATCTTCTCTCCTTTTTCTCTGAGAACAAAATTTCTTATTTAATACAAGCAGAAACAGATTTAAACTCAATTTATTTAAATTACTTAATCTGAACACTCCAGTAATTTTCATTTGATTCTCTTAAAAAATTATGAAATAAGCACATTAGCTGGCAAGCAGCAGTACAGTCTGATTTGGTGTTTGGGACAACGTTCACTCTCTCAGTGTTGTCTTGCCAACTAACTGGTTTCTCACTCATTCTACAGGAAGTTTTTAGAGACCCATCTGAGGAGCATGTCCAATAACAGTTCTACAGAATCTCCTCCAAATGAGGAATTCCTAGATTCCTTTGCCAGTAACTCATCTTTTCCACAATGAAACAAAGAAAAGCTGCTCATCAGACACATTTAATACCATGCTCCAGCACTTTATGCATTCATACAATCACAATTTGTCAACTAGTACTTAGTTGGCAGTGGAAAGCACTGAATGAAAAAAGGCCATCTAACTCATTGTCTTGAAAATAATAATTTTGCTTGCCAATAAACTAAGTGATTATGCTTTGTTAGGTATTCATGTGTCTTGTTTGAAATATAACAATGAAAATTGATTATATTAATTAGCAAACCAGCAGTTTCTACGTGTCATGTATCAGATATAATTGGAATAACAAAAATTAGTACACCAGACTAAATTTTCTAAATCATATCGATTTAATATGGGCTGTTATTTTCCATACCACAGCCAAAGTTTTGTTGGCAACATTACAACGCAGTTGTCACTGTATCCAAAAACCAGCATAATAAGTATTAGTGATATTACTGGTATTCAGAAAGAGTCTCAGTTAATTTAGTTCTCAAAGACAATAAACTAAGATGGCCACTTCTTCACAAATCAACAGTAAAGTATTTTAAATGTTTTAAACAGTGAAACCTGTGCTAAGCAATCCCTCAAGAGAAAATAAAACAACATATATAGACAGTGTATTGACAAAGGGGAAACAAAACGCAAACTTAATTCTCATCCATCACTGTTCTAAGGGGGAAAAACAGTTATAAAAAGTGAGCTTTGTACAGGTTTCACTATATATTGCCATGCAGAATTAATGTAGAATAAATGTATACATGCCTGCATATACAGAAATGCTTTTTACATAAAAGCCCCAGTTACAGTTCAGACATTTTCAGTTGAAAAAATAAATATATAAAAATTTACAAATTCCCCAATATATATTATTTTCCTTAATAATTTTTAAAAATATACACAGGAAAAAGGAAAAGAAATAAATATATAAAAATTTACAAATTCCCCGATATATATTATTTTCCTTCCATTTTTAAAAATATACACAGGGAAAAGGAAAATCCTTTAAAGAATGAGCAACATTACAATTTAGGGATTTAATATAAATAAGATCTACTATTAATGAAAGCAAAAAAAATTAAACTTCACCTTCATCACTTCAAGGAAAACATGCTAAAACTTTCTGTTGCCAAAATACAGTGACTTTTTTTTTTCCAGAAGACAAGATCCTTTAAAGAATGAGCAACATTACAATTTAGGGATTTAATATAAATAAGATCTACTATTAATGAAAGCAAAAAAAATTAAACTTCACCTTCATCACTTCAAGGAAAACATGCTAAAACTTTCTGTTGCCAAAATACAGTGACTTTTTTTCCCAGAAGACAGTAAAGAAAGTGTGATGTATGCTTTTTCTATATAAGGAAAGTAAAAAGACAGACTGCTTTAAGAAATAGAAATTCTTTACTAAGGCAGAAATTCTTTATTAAGATCCTTAAGTAAGAATCACAGCTGTGAAAATGTCAACAGAAACAAGGTTGCAAGCAAAAATACTTGAAAATAACTATAAAAGCCTAAACCACCTTCAATAATAAGCTGTAAGCTCAAGTACCACTGAGAACATGCCCTGAACAACTGCAAAAGCACATGAAACACCTAAAATTACATTATTCTCACAAGCCAATTTTCTTAAGAATGCAACTCCTAAAGATGTTTATGACTGCCTTGTGTTTTCCTTACACCAAAACGTTTACTATCACTGTACTGTTTAAATATTAAAAACAACAATGCATATTCAAGTAATTTTCAATGATAAATTCTATTCAAGCTGGTTCATATAAACATCTGCAGCTAGCTGTTGAAGCACTTTTAAAGAAATTACCCGTGTCAAGACATTTTTAATTTTGCAAGAGAGTAATTACCTTCTTGAACTGTTTGTCATTGTCATAGCCTTGGTCAGTAGCTCTGAATGCTGTTTCTCCTGGAGAACCTAGAACATAATTACAGAAACTCATTATCACACGGAAAAGGCACTTAAAAATTCTCAAAATACACTTACTATAAAATTAAAGTTTTAACCCCTAGGAATTATTAATTCAATAATCTTTGAAGTTCCTAATAAGAAAGAAAAAGATTCACCTTAAGAAACTGAAAAAGAAATTCAGTTTAAAACACATCTGAAAATTTTATGTCTAATTTGTGACTCAGACTAGCTATATAACAATGGAGAAGGCAACTTCAGTTAGACTATTAAAGTTCTGAAAACATTGTAAAATTTATTATTTCTGATAGACATGAAAGGATAATACAAACTCCATTGCTATTGCTGTAATGAGAAAAAAAATTCTTTCCTATTGTAGTGACATAGGTTTTCAAAACTAGCTTCTGGAAAATGCCTGAAATAAAAAGCATCTGCCAAGAACTGTGGCAGAGAAACAACAACCGTTCATCTGTTCATTCTCACAGGGAAGGATCTAAGCATTCTTAAAATAGTTGGAAAGTATTTGTAATTCAATATTAAATGCTGTAAATAGTTGTGTTTACACTGACATTCACTCCTCTTAATATAGTAATTTTCGAAGAGTTTGTTTTAAAGAGGCAGGTTAAGGGCAGTAAAAAGGGCTTTTACACACCTAACAACAGAAGTAGATCAGAAGCTCCTAAGACTTCACTAACCAAATTGTAACCTGTGAAAAATCAGCAGAAGAGGGGAAATAAAAATTATAAATACAAAACAAAATTCAAAACAAAGATGAGGGATCTTTGTCTCATTTGGAGGACCACGCAATCATAAATGGCAATTATGCCCATGTGAGTACGATAACAAATAGGCGACATCTCACAATACCAGTCAACAACACCCCAATTTGAAATAGCCAAAATACACAGGAGATTGTAATCTACTTGTCACTCTATTGAACTTGATCCCTACTTAGGTGCTCGCTGAGTTTGTTAGATTAATAAACTAGTTCCGTTATTGGCAGTATTTTAAGAAGATAAAAATACACTTCTTATGTGCACTGATATAGAAATATTGTCAAACAGTAATGACTGTTAACACCTCACAGATACTGTGCACTGATATAGAAATATTGTCAAACAGAGTAATGACTGTTAACACCTCACAGGTATAATCTTTTATGAATGCAAATTTATATGGTTTGATAATTATTAAGATATATAATAGGAATAATCTCGCACTTTATTACAAGAATAATAACTGGGTGAAGTTTTAAGCTGATAATTATTAAGATATATAATAGGAATAATCCTGCACTTTATTACAAGAATAATAATAACTGGGTGAAGTTTTAAGCTATGCTCATTAGCAAGTCAGATAAGATGATCAAAGCAGTAATTTTCAGTTTTAAGAAGGCCACTGATCAGAAATGTCTTATTTAAGTCTCCCAAGACCTGAAAACTACTGCCTGGACACACTGAATAGACAAACCAGCCCCTTTTCTTTTGTGAAGGGCTTATAGCTCCTACCTACTCCTTCGAAAAGCAGCCCCTACCTAAGCTAAATCTTCAAGCAAGTCCTTCTGGAGCTGTATCCAGGTGGAAAATATCTTTCAACCCAAAAGAACACCTTCATTATAAATCTCTTCTTTCACATGCCTGAAACATGAATATCTACCACTCTTAATAATCCAACTCTTTTCTCCTTTAACAGCTGTGGTACTGTTACCATTCAGCACCCTCTTACCTCCAAATTCCAGCTGGACACATCCAGCTTCCATGACTCATTGCAGCAACATAGTTTTCAATCTTCCATCTGTTTGTGTAGGGTTGTATAAGAATTCTAGTTTTCTATTCAATTTCACATTTTGGTTCTCTGTACTTGCTACTAGAATTCTTGCTTTTAAAAATACATTACACTTACCTGTGTCCATAACACTTTCAGACGAGATAGTCAATGAAAAGGCAAGCATTTTCAGGATCCACTTTCTTTTAGCATCTAAGGACATATCTGTAACCTCATCTTGTAATAGCTTAATTTTTCAAAATTAAAACTAAGCTGAAAAATTGCTCTCACCAGGAGAAAAAAATCCTTTCAGTGAAGTGAAGCTCTCTCCAATCTTGTCAAAGTCAGGCAGGAGTTTGGCAAGGTCATCTGCATCAGGAAGGGCTTTGATAAGTTTTTCTAGAAAAACAGTAAAACAGCTAATGAGTAGGGTTTTTTCCTATTACTTTTATGAAAAAAAAGAAAACCAAACATGCTTAGGCTGTAAAACTTAGCAACTGCTTCAGGATGTGGCTTTTATTCTCCTTTTTTTTTTTAAATAAAGAACTCAAAAGTTTCTTTCCACATGCACCTCCCCCAGTTAGTGTTGGGAAAGATTATGAGATCTGAAAAATCAATTGCTTTTTTAGACTTTGAACTTCCTGATAACCTGGTTGCCTCAGATACTTAAAATAGCCTGAAACGCACTGCTGTGTTTCACCACATTATGCTCTCATGTACCTCGTAGAGGATGATTTAAAATTACATGACACTAGAACTACGTTCACCTCTTGTACATTTTAAGAAAACCTTATTTTTCAGTTCCATAAATAAGCCAATTTTGTAATCCTTTAAAACCCCAAACTTGTTGGTTTTAAAACCCTATATAAAGGTAGTGTCCATGAGCAATAAAAACAAGAAAACATTTGCCTCAGTTATTCAGGCTCTGCGTTTACCTAAGAAATGCTAGTACATGTAGTAAAATCTTCATGATTTTTTTAAAAAAAAAAGAATCCCACCTTACTATCCTGCATATATATGAAGGAACTCAGTGTCTGTTTTTCAGATTTCTATCTTTCAACTGAAATATGCAAAAAACCTACTGCAACCAGAAGGTTCAGGAAAACAGAGTCTATATTTTTCATTTTCACTCAAATTACACCTATAATGACTACTGGAGAGAGGCATCAAGGACCTATGCCCTTATGTTTAAATTTACATGTCTTAGTCTTTAGATAGAGTAACATTTTAGCTTTTGTGATACCAAAGTCAATATGTTCATCAAGTTCCCAAATGAAGTCAGGAACAATCCACTTGTATTCATCGAGGTCTGGCATCATGTCCTTCCACTGATCATATGTCTAACACAAAAAAGAAAAAAACATTAGTAGAAATAGAAGAGATGTATGTAGAGAAGCACATGAGCAATCTATTGAAAAGTAATACCTACATATAAAACATGCTAACCCACCATCTTTTAGAGATGAATAATACTACTTGGAACTTTTAAAATCTATACTAGTTCTCTAAACAATCTGTTTTCTATATTCCTTCGTCTTTATTATCATTAGCTAGCCAAACAATGGTATCTTGTGTTTTTGTGGATATACCAAGAACTGTTGTTCTAAAGTACATAATAACAAAGACAAAACGCGTAAAATAGCTTCAAAAGATAAATACCTTCTTTACTGTATAACCACCACCTACAGCAGATCCTAATACAAGGTAGCGAAGTTTGAGAAGCCTCGATGCTAGTCTAGCTAGCCAAAAGTTCCTGTGGGACTGGTATCCATATTTTACATTTAAAAGTTTTGTTTTGCGTAGGGGAAGACGATTAAGAGAAGAGAACAGCTGAGCAGATATCCTCAGTGGAGGTCTTTGAAATTTTGAACTTGGATAGTGGGGATGATGTATACTTCGGGAAACAAGATGTAAGTTTTGAAGTGGTGATTTTCTTTTTATTCCATAGCTGCTATTTGCTAGACTCCGGCAGATGACACTAAAAGAAAGAAATAAAAACTCTAAGTAACAGATTTCCTCAACATACCATTAATTCAATAACCTCTTCAGAAGCAATTCACATTGCATTTTAGCTGGGTACAGATAAATTAGAGCACCATTCTGAACGTACAGTTTCCAGCTATCATTAGTACAGTAACAGGAAAATAAAAAGCTGTAAAAATCATTAATAGATACTGCATTTCTAATAACTACAGAAATAAAACCTTAAATACCATTTATGAAGTCTGTTATGAACTAAATTTAACTTCCACCCTGGATTAAGGCAAGTAACATGTCTGTGGTAAAACAGTTTGGGCAAACAGCAGCTAAGAGTCCATAGAGGACTTGACAGTTTGGCCTATCTTGTTATTCAAAATGAACTTTTAGATAACAGATGATTTTCAAACTTCAAAAAAAGCAATACACAGACAAAATTCCTTTGCAAAATACAATTGCCCTGTTTTGGCAAAGCAGATTCTCCTTTGCAGTTGAAGCATTTACTTAATGACATCGTCCAGTGACTTCCACTCTAATATTCTCCAGTTCCAGAATTACAGGATTATTGCTTTGTCTTAGGTCATGCATAGACAACATTACTTCTGGAGATGGCTATACCATGTTTGTTGAAGACTTCAATAAAGTAATTCAGGTTTATGCAAGAGGGAAAATTTCAGTCTGAAAGATTTCACTCTGAAAACAGAGCCCAGCCACGAAAAGCACACATTAAAACACAGGGACCTTATCAATCCTGCCTATGTTCAAACAAACGCATAGGTTGGAATAAAGCGCCTTGTATACTTTCTACTACACCACCTGCATGCTTCAACATTTTGAGGTGGCTTTGCTAGTTTCGGGGAGCGACAACGGCTCTGGAAAAAGCAATTTCTTTTGTAACTTTTTAGTTTCACCATCATATCAGAATGGTTAATATGAAATCATTTACTGGATAAAAACATGAGTGAAGTTACAGTTCTTGAAATTAATGCTTGTCCCTTGATGCTTCTTTCAGGCTTTTCAATATTATCAAATGCCTTTACTTACAAAGGGAACAAATACAAAAGAAGAAAGTGCTTCGCCATTTAGAAGGCAAATTATTCCTAAATAAGGCCGTATTCCTAAATAATTTAAAATTAGCAGATCTTAAAGAGAGTAAGTGAATTATATGAAATGGAAAGTATTACAGCATCTTCTAATAACATACTCTATAATCTATGTAATTCTTTGCCTTGAGATCTTCCATGTACTAGAGATGACATTGTCTATTACAGGCATATTCCTAATGCCCAAAGAAGTGGAAGTCTTTGTTATAAAAGAACTTTTGACCCAGAAATTGAGCTTTTGGAAGATAAGCTGAAAATCAGAATTACGTGAATCAAGACATTTTCCTCTCTTAAAAGGCCAATTCTCACAGTGATCTATGTTTAGAAATTTCCTTTACCGTAATGGAAAGCTTAAAAAAAAAAAGGGAACTCCACTGACCCTTATGAAAGTCCTCGTTCATAAAAGTGACTAAGATTTTGAAGGATACTCTCCTTCTACACTGCACTATCTGGAAGGCTGCGCCTTTGCAATAACAAACTCAGTATCTAGAAAGAGGATAATAAACAGGAGCAGAATAATCCCTAAAGTAGCAACAAGTTTCTCGTCTTTGACATGGAATTACAACAGGCTCAGAAATTAATCACAGATAGAACCAATACAAAAGTGGCTACATAACGATAAAAAGTAAAAGTGCCTCCACACCAGAAACATTTTGTTTCCCGCTTTTGAAGACAGTATTTTAAACCAGGGTGTGGTAAGCCTGTAAGAAGCAAGCTGATGACTGGGCCGTTATTTCTTTTGTTTTGCAGTCACTGGCATTACACAGATATTTAGCGTTTTCAGCAGACACCAAGTGGTAGTATATACTATGGCAGTCACTTCTCATTGTTAGTCTTCACCTAGATCAAAGGCATTTTGTAATATTATGTCATTTTCTTCTCTGTGAAGAGAAGAAATTTTTAAAATACATTGTGTTTTACAGCATGTGCTCTGTATGCTTAAACTCAAGGAACACGTAAGTTTCATCATGTGTTCTGTATGCTTAAACTCAAGGAACACGTAAGTTTCATCACCAATTGTTACAGCAAGAACTTGATCAACAATTGCCTTTTGAGTGCTATCACACATTTCAAAACCCACCTGCTTTAATTGCACCTATAAAGTCTTACAATACATTAAAAAAACCCTACTACTCCATCATTATACCAAAACTTCCATTTTCTCATTTCTTCTCTTCTCCTACTGCTAAAAGCTCACGATGAATAGTGACAAAAAAGTCGCGTTAAGATCGTCAATGAAAAGCGCAGTTAGACTGAAAAAGGTGCCAAAACCCATGTTATTACTTTAACTATTTAACAAATTCCAATTTAAAGCCTCTGGAAAGCCTTCCAGACACGAATAGCTCTGCCATTAGAGTCTGCCTTATTACAGGTCTGCAAACCTGACTACTCCTGAATTGCACTGACATTACAGACACCTTATAAAACACGAAAAAGTGGCCTGTTCCTGTTGGTAGCCAAGCCTTCCACCTGGAGGTCACACCTAACATTTCACACATATTGCTCCAGTTTAAAAGTTAAAAAAATCCTCACCAGGGACAAGTCTTCTATAAACAGGTTACATAGACTTTTAGTAACTATGACTGCAAAGCAGTCTTTCAAATCTAACCCAACAAAAAGCATTATGGTATTTTCCTTTTCATTTGGCACTAGAAAACACTTATTTTCCTAATGATGCTCCCAAATCTGCCAAGGAACATAGCGAGATTACGAACCATTCAGTTTCACTGCTCCTGTCTGGAATTGTGTGGAAGAAGGGTGAAAACCAAGAGGAACGTAGGGTTTGGCTGGGACAGTCATGCTCTGGACACGAAGGAGGCCCAAACTCCCTGGGCAGGAACGCGGGAACCGCAGCTCCCTTCCACAGCGCACCTCAGGTCCCGGGGGAGCTGAAGGATGGGGAATTTCCCTGCCCGGGAGCAGCAGCTCCACCCCGGCAGGCCTGGGGGTCGCCCCTGCGTCATTCACACACACACTGCGTCCCTCACCGCCCACCCCGACCCGCCGCGGGGCTCCGGCCTCCCCCGCCGGCAGCCCCCTTCCCCCGGGCGCCCTGGGCCCGCTCAGCCGGGGCGAGTGTTACAACGGACACCGCTCCCGAGGCGTGAAGAGAAGGAAGGAGGAGGAAGGAGGAGGGAGGAGGAGGGAGGAGGAGGGTCGCGGCTCCGGAGGCCGCTCGCCCCGCACAGCCACCGCGCCC